AGGTTTTTTTAGGTGCATCATGGGAAGGGGGGGGGGTATTGCCTACCAAAATAATCATTCCCCTCGTTGTCCTAATGGGATGATTATAAACGCCAGTAGTGTGTTTAAAATAAATTGTCTGTCTGATTTAAGAGACAGGCGAGTAGGGGAAAATAGCAGCGCACAGGGAGATACAAAAATGCCCTTTTAAATAATAATTAGCGATGAATTTACTTTGCAAATAGTCCAGTGCTTACAATCAAGTGTCAAAGAAAGGGGCAGATGAGGGGCTGGGGGAGCCACAATCCAACTTGGGGCTCTTGCAGGTTGGCCCCCGATTCCTGTCCTACTGCCGAAGCCTTGTAATTATTTGATCTGCAGATGTAAGAGGAATTTATTGTAACAACAAATATAGTGATGTCAAAACCCAACCTTGGATTAAAGCAGGCAGCCGAAGGGGAAGTGTATTAATTTCAAACAGCATCACAGGCCAGTGCCTATTAGGACGAGCTATTCTTCAGGCCCCCCCATCAGAATTAATCATTGGGAGTTAATTTGAAGCTCAGACAAGTTGCTGTTAATTTAGTGCAGGGAGGACGGGATGGAATAAAAAGCTGAGGTGCTGGCCAAGCCTCCTGGGTCTCATTAATCAGCGAGCTGAGACGGCCTGGCTTGATTACAATTTGCAAAAAAATTCATTAGAGCCTGGGCGATTGACAATTTTTCTCTCTGCCTGTGATCTGACTCATTAGGCAGCCAAATGAAAAGCCATGATGGTGGTGATGATGACAGCTATCAGCCCCCCTCACTTGTTTATCTTCTTTTCTTCTGTCCCTGTCTTAGTGGCTTCCACTTCAAGAGCCCCCCCCCGCTTTTGCTCTCCTCCTTGTACACTGCCGTTATTTTACTAGGGGGCTGTGGGGGAAAACTTTGATTAGTAAATAACTTTGCTGAGCATTTGGCAGCTGCCTGCTTTTATCGCATTCACTGTCGCGTGTGTCTTTTCCCCTCCCAGCCCCCTTGGCGGAAGATGGGGCAAAGGAACAGCTGTTCGTTCCTAAAATGAAAATCCCTCCCAGCTCCAAAGCGGTGTAAGTGGCTCTAGCGGGCTCAGCGCCTTTTGCCCAGCTCCAAACTTTCTCGACTCACTTGGAGCTTCTATTTCGGCGCCTTCTGGGCAGCAAGCGCTTCCGTTTGCAGAAGAAAGGTTGCATTGTAATGCTGCTCGCATAGTTTAAAATAAATCGAGATTGTGGGTGGGGGGTACTGCAGTTTGGGCTCTGCCCAAATCCGTCACGGGGGTTTACGAGTCTGTGCATTTGCTTTCGTTTCTTTTGCCCTTCTCCAGAAGCCGTGGGGAAGTCTCGCGTTTCTCTGCGGCGCTGTGGGCAGCCGGGCGCCCCGCGTTGCAACGTTCCATGGGTAGAACGTTGGGACACACGAGGGTTCCCTTCGTCTAACAAGTGTAAGTCGGGACTTCCCTTCTGCACCGCCCACCCTTAAACCGCACTAGCTCGTACACCCTCACAGCTGTACTTTATTTCTCTAGTACCTCAGTAGCTATAAATTATTTTCTGTGAGGTAGGATTCATTTCAAACCCTCGGTATCAACAGATCCTTAGGGGTGGGGGGACCAGGGCCAGTCATTATCTGCTGTTGCCGAAATGCATAGACTCCTTTCAGTGCCTAAGATTCACACGCGCAATAAATGTGGGCTATCAGTTGCTGTTCCTCTGGATTTTTTTTTAATGCGCCTGGACCGTTTATCAGTCAGTATAAATAATATAGTTCGTGTAGCAAAAAGAGGAAAAATCCATGTTGATCGGGCCACTTGGAGATATTTGATTTTTTTAAGGACAGTTTAGAAGGGAAAACACGTATAAGGCGCTATCCTCACAAAGCTTCATTTCCAGACCATTCTAATGCAGTTCAAACTCAGCATTTAAAAAAAAATGATGAAGTGCAACTGATATAAATTATGTCAATATTGGTATTGACCTTCTGCAACACTTGATTTACTCACTGGAGCTTAAACTAGAAGTCTCATCATTATCTGCATAGCAAATTGCTCCTTGCAGCTCTCCTTAATTATCCACATTCACAGCCAGTTGAGGAGCCTAGTACCTTTTTTTTATTATTAGTTGCGGGGGTTGTTTGTTTGAAATTTTATTTTAGTGTATGCAGAAAATGAATGATTTCTTTTAAATTCCTTTCTTCCTACCTTGTAAATCGCTTCTGCCCTTGCTACCCAGAGTAGACGTCTCCTAAGTGAGTTGCACGGGGGATTTTGGGGGGGTCGCTTACAATTCTCTGGCAGGAAAGGCGTTGAAATGCACGGTAATAATCGAAGTCTGTGGGCAAAGAAGCAAATGGGGCAAGAGCAAGATTATCAAATGTGCATTTCAACGCCACCGATGTGAGTTCAGAGAGAGAAGCTGAAACCAAGTGTGTGTCAAGATCTGGTCTCCCAACCCCCCCTGGTCGTGTGGGGGGCAAAGGAAAAAGACCTCTTTCCAAGGAGTTCGCTCGTTTGGTCCCTTTAGCAGAATATTGCCCTCTCCACTCCATTGACTGTGTTACATTGTGCTCGTGCCAACCACCGTGGCATAATGGCAACTTTTGAGGGGGACGGGCCTTTGCATGTTAAATACCGCTCCAGTCCTGCCAGTTTTTCTCTCGGTTTCAGTTTTCCTTCTTGCTCCTCAGACGGATCAAAGCCAACACGCCCCGATTTAGCCCCGGTAATTTCCTGTGCAGAAGCAGCGCAGCCCGGTGGGTAACAATCCCGAGGCAGCTTCACTTGCAAGAGCAACCTCTGCCTGGATCCCTCTCGCTCGACACTCCCCAGTAACCCTGCACACAGCTATTGGGTAGCGAGAGCAGCCCCAGAAGCGCGTGTGATTTATCCCTCTGTCGGAAGTAAAAGCAAGGCAGTTAATTTCCCGGCTTTTCAGTGCTGGCTGCTTCTAAGGCTCCGCGTGGTTCGCTGTGTGTGTGTTTAGGTATTTATAGGAACTGCGGGGAGAGGAGCTGCCTATTCCTTTCCAATTCAATGTACCCAGCAGCTCACGAAGGGCAACCTTATTCTCTTCTGATCAGCTCCCACCTGGCCTTGATCCTTCAGCCCCAGCCTTTCAGTTGTCAGGCTGAACCACCTCCCCCTCCTTCCCTCCCCCATCGCACCCCTCTCAGCAGCACTGCTGTTTACAGCACATCGCAAGGCATTTCTTTCCATGTCACCCCAGTCAGCAGCCTTGTGGCAGGTGCCCTCTCCCCCAGAGGGGAACTTTAGGCAGTATGCTAAATATTTCCTCGTTGACCGTAAACCTGGCTTAAAAAAAAAAACCAAAACAACAAAAAACAAAACACAGAAAACAAACCCAAAACGAAGGGCCACATCGTTAAAATCTTCCCAGGACACTGGGAACCGTCGGAAACTTGTACAGAATAGTCGGTCGATTGCTTTTTTTTTTTGCTTTTTTTTTGTTTCTTTGTTTTTATTCACAAGACTGAGTTTGCTTTTAAAATTCATAACTTATAATGAAACCAGCTACATTGAAATAAATTAAACACAACAGAGAGGATCGTGCTTTAAAAAAACAAAACAAAAAACATGGCTTAATAGAATAAGCAACCAAATCTCGACAGAAAGCCAGGCAAAAAAATAATATATATATATATATATTTATATATATTAAAAAATTCACCCAAATGACTGCCACTCAGCCAACCCAAACAACAAAAAAATACTCTTAGTTTTGTTTCATTTTTTTTTTTACCTTCAAAACGGTAAGAAACAAAAACCAAAAGGTGGTTAATATGTACTGCAGTTTGGTGGTGGTGGTTTTCTTCGGGAATGTAAAGACTTGGTGTGCCTAGTCATTTGTCCCATCACAGTCCAAATACTGCAGCCGAGATCCAGCACTGTATGTACAAAGTAGGACAGCATAATAAATATTTGTTGCGTCTCTCTTCAAGGGCCTGGTACTCCCGCTGGGAACCAAAACACAGTTTTAAAACCTCTTTATTAATAAATTTTCGCTTTGCTCGATATGTGGCAAGTTTCATATCAAAGTCTTTTTTTTTTTGCGGTTTACTGTTTAAACCCAATTTCGAAGCTTTTGATCCAAAACTTTTGGATCTGAGAAGGGGGAGGAGGGGAGGGAAACGGATCAGGGTCTGGCTTGTTCCAGTTGTTGATGCTGACTTCTGATGGCAAATCTGCTGACATGGACGGGAATGGGTACCACGATCTTGGGGTTTCTGGAGGGCTCTCCTGTCTTGGAGTTGGCGTTGCCTGCTTTCACCCTTTTCCACTTGGCTCTTCTGTTCTGGAACCAGATTTTGACCTGCACTTCACTGAGTTTGAGGGCATGGGCGATCTGAGATCTCTCTGTCAGAGACAGGTACTTTTTGCAATGAAATTCCTTTTCCAACTCCAGCAGCTGCTCGCTAGTAAAGGCTGTTCTCCTCCTCCTGTTTTTGCCCGTGGACGTGGTGTTGTTGGAGGAGTTTGTGCTCTGGGGGTTCTCTTCGAGCGCGTTGCCAGAGTCCTCTTCTTTGTGCGCCGCCTGGCTGGTGATGTTGTCGTCCGAGCTGTAATCGAGATCGCTGTCCATGGAGAAACTTTCCTCCTTGCCTTTCGGGTCGTCCTCCGCTTTCGAGTCCTCTTTCCCTTGCGCCCGGACAGCCCCCACTGCAAGGAACCAGAGGCACCTTGTTACACAGCGCGGCCACGGGCCCCTCCAGCCCGGCCCCGCGGATCGCGTGCGGCTGCCTGCAGGGAGGCCCCGGCTTCGCGGTGCGAGGGAAGGGAAGCAAATGGCACTGGGGGGAGGGGGTGGCATTTTCTGCCCGGCCGGGTCTCTGCAGGGTTTTCTCTTCCCCCGATGAGCATTTGCAACCCTTCACAGGCCGGTATCTGCTCCCGACCCCCTGCGGCAGGGCGGGGGGGGACCCGTCTTCTCGCTTTCCACCCAGCACCAGGCGCAGGGGCCCGGGAGACGGGCTGCGGCTGGGAAGCGCGCTCCCAACTTTCCTTCCCGACCGGGGCGCGAGCAGCTGGACCTGGCCGGCCGCGATCTCAGCCCGAGCTGTCGGTCCCCGGGGTCGCTGATTTAAGTTCCCAGCCTGGGGAGGGAGGAGTCCTGGCTTGCCCGTGTCCCGTGGATCCCTTCCGATACAAGGGGGGGGAGGAAAGAGAGAGGCTCGGCTAGCAGGGAGCACTAGAGCAGTGCCCCCCCCCCGATTTTTGGCTGGGCTGGGGCAGGAGCCCGGAGCGCCCATTGCGGCTCGGAGCCAGCCCCTCCCCCCCGGATCCCGGCGCCCAAAGGGAAGGGGCGCTGCAGGGAGCCCCCGAGGGGGCGGTTGGAGCAGCACCGTCCCGTCCCGTCCCGGAGCCCGCGGACTCACCGAGCGACGCCTGCACGGCGTCCGCGGCGGAGAAGGCGAGCAGGGCGCCGTCCTTGCCCAGGAAGGG